ACTCCTTCCAGGAAGGAGGTAAACACATTTCACATGTCTAGGGAAGATGAAAGAATCAAGACTCTTCCTAAGGAAAAGTCTCACACAGCAAAGCCTAAAGTCCTAGTGCCGACACACCGGAAATCTAGCAGAGCATGACACGGCCATAAGAAGGATGCTGTGTGTGTCTCAGTCTGTGTTCTACTGCTGCAAACATGAGAGAGCATCCGAGGCCAAGAAATTACATCTAATGTCGGCCTTCTTGTTGACCAAGTCCAGAGATGGTTCTGGCAGCAGGTGGCAGGACACAGAAGGCTCCAAGAGACTCAGTTAAACTAGCACATAATTAAGAGAATCCACTAACCCAATGAGTTACTAATTTATTATATGGCTTTTTTACTTTCCTTTAAAACATTTTGAACTAGCCAGACGGTGGTGCATGCCTCCAGCACTTGGAGGACAGAAGCAGGCAGATCTTTGTGAGTTCGAGGCCAGTCTGGTCTACAGAGTGAGTTCCAGGACAGGCTCCAAAACTACAGAGAAAACCTGTCCTTGAAAAACAAAAACAAAAAACAAAAATCAAAAACAAAAAAACAAAAAAACAATATATTTTTATTCAATACAATATATATTTCCCCTCCCTCAACTCCTCCCAGATCCTTCCCACTTTGTTACCCACTCAACTTCATATTTTTTCTCTCTCTCAGAAAAAAATAGGAAAAACAACAAAAATCAAAAACATGGAAATCAAAACAAACATAAAAAAGAAACAAAACAAAACAAAAATTACCCAACACACACACATATTAAAATCATGGGCCAGGTAGTGATAGCAAACGCCTTTAATCCCAGCACTCAGGAGGAAGAGGCAGGTGGATCTCTGAATTTTGGTCCAGTCAGGTATACATGGCAAATTTCCATGGTTATTCAGGGCTACATGGTGAGACCTTGCCTTTAAAAAAAGTGAATAAATGTAATTTTTATGTTTTATTTTTATTTCAAATACATTGGTGGTTTGCCTGCATGTATGTCTATATGAGGGCATCTTTTCCCTGGAACTGGAGTTGCAGACAGTTGTGAGCTGCCATGTGGGTGCTGGGAATTGAACTCGGGTCCTCTGGAAGAGCAGTCATGCTCTTAACCACTGAGCCATCTCTCCAGCCATGAACAAATGTAATTTTAAAAAATTAAAGAAGAAATGGGATGTTAAGGATACAGCTTAGGTGGTAAGGTAATGGCCTTGCACACGTGAAGCCCTGTGCTCCATCACCAGCCCTGAACTAGGCATAGTGATGTACATCTGCAATTTCAGAGACAAGAGAATCAAGAGTTCATGGTCATCCTAAGCTACATGGTGAATTTGAGGACAGCCTGGGCTACATGAGACCCTGTCTTGAGAAAAAAAATAAAGAGAAAGAAAGAAAGAAAGACAGAAAGACAGAAAGAAAGAAAGAAAGCCAGGCAGTGGTGGTGTACACCTTTCACCCCAGCACCCAGGAATCAGAGGCAGAAGAATCTCTGAGTTTGAGGCCAGCCTGGTCTCTAGAGTGAGTTCCGGGACAGGGTTACACAGAGAAACCCACTCTAGAAAAATAAACAAACAAAACCAAAAATTAAAAATAAATAAGAAAAAGAAAGGAAAAAAAGAGGTTGCCGAGGGAGATATGACCCATGAGGGTACTAAGAGGGAGCAAGACTGGGAAGGAAAATGACAGCTGGCTTTAATAAAATTTAACACAAATTAATACTAATTTATTAATAATAATTTTATTATTGTTATTAGTTATTGTTTTCATTCATTTTGCATGTGCCATGACATAAGTGAGGGCCTCAGAGGACAACTTGTGGAAGTCAGTTCTCTGTATCACGTGTCCCAGAGACTGAACTCGGGACTCAGCTTCTCCCTCAGGAGTCTTTATGCACTGCCTTCTAGCTAACCATTTATTACTTTTATCATTACCATTATTTCACTGGGGTGTGTGTGTGTGTGGCCGCGTACCATCATATGAGTGCATGCATGCAAGCTGAAGCCAAGGGAGATGTCCTGTGTCTTCTTTTCCCCTTCAGGGTATGTTTATTGGAAGGGAAGCTTGTTATCCTTTAGGCTAGGCTGGCTCTTGGGATCTGTCTGACTCTTAATGCAAGAGATTGGCACAAAAAGCCATGCCTGTGTGGTGGGTGCTGAGGATTCCAATCCAAATTCTCATGCTTACATAAAAGTTCTTTTATCCATTGATAGGCCTTTGGGCACTAGGAAGGCTGAGGCAGGGCGGTCTTGCTTTCAAGGCAGCCTCGGCTATGTGATAAGATCCTGTCTCAGAAAACAAAGAAATGAAGAATAGGTGACTGCTTGTTGGGGTAGGGACTTCAGAGGGAACTCTCATCACCACTATCCCCTTTCCCACCCACATTCTGCCTGTTTTGGGGAACTCTGTTCAAATAGAAAAAGAAAGGGTAAGGGGAGGACATCGGGTGGGGTCATCAGGATGTCACATCAAGCAACCCAAACAAACCTACAGCACCCAGGAAGCAGAAACCCAGAACCAACAACTGGCCTGATGGTGCAGGACTGTACCTCCAGCTGGGGGAGCAGAAGATCACAAATTCAAATAGCAGAATCCAGAACCAAGAAACCTGGATTCGCAGGTAGGTAAAGGTGGCTCGACTCCAGAAGAAACACATATACATGCAATTCAGCAGGCTGTGCCTAGTTTGTGGGGAGAATAACGTGCTGGGGAATTCGGATGTTGAACCCACAAAGCTGTAGGAAGGAAGTTAGGGGCTCCCTGAAGCTAGGGTGACGCTTTTGCACATCTGAGACAGGAAGTGGTGGTTTGGGTGTCCTACAGAAAGTGACTGATTAGACCCAGGGCCCAATATCTCATATACACTCAGCTTGGACTTTGCCTCTGTGGGAATGTGGAGGCTTGCCTTCCCTGGCCACACCTCGAATCACCGTCTTTCTTGATACTGGCACCCAGATCTAAACGTATCAAGAAAGTTAAGAGAACTTGAGGGACCTTGGAGAGGTGAGAGCCCTAGAGAAACCCAGAGACCCCTGAGGTGGAGGTGAAAGAGGTGAAGAACCGAAAGGAAGACAAACATCAGTTGATTAGGCGTGAGAAAGATAGGAAAAGTGCCCTGAGCAAAGGCTGGCCTATCTCAACCAGTCTTCCAGCGAATGTGGCCATAAAAGCAGGTTTCTTCAATCCTGCACACCTGAGGACTGCTTCCTGACCTGGGAGACCGAGCTTCTCCACTTTTACTACAGAGCACAGCATGTGGAGCTACCTGTTCTGGCTACCAATCATCCTAGCTCTATGGGCTATCGCTGGCATCTGGATTGTGTGAGTAGCAGAGGCAGGACTAAAGGATGCTTGGGGTCTGAGGGAGAAGGGCTGGGGTCTGGATTCTTGGGTCTGAGGGAGGATAGCTGGGTGTTGGAGGGCTGCTTGTGACAGAAGAGGAGGGGCAGAAATTTGTTAACACAGTGAAGTGTTTTGTTTGGTCAACAGAAGGGAAAGCTATCCACGAGCCCCTCACTGACTTCCTGTATTCCTTCCATCTATCTCAGTTTTGCAATTGCCGTGGTTAACAGATCTGTGGATCTCCAGAAAGGCTTCCCCTTTATCAGGTTTTTGTGGCTGAGGGGGTTGATGGGGGAGGAAAACGGAGGGCCTTACTTCAGAGGAGCCAAAAGATGACCATGTTAATCTTCTGCAGTAACTGTGGGTCTTATGCTCCTCAGAGCTGCATTTTCAGCCAAGTACTCAATACAGGAGCTGCCCTAGGTAAGTTCTTTCCTTTTACTACCGGCCCAGAGCTACCCAAAGGGTCCCTAACTCCTCCTTCCCCAGATCGGGACAACTGGCCCCTCTTCCCAAGAGAACACATCCTACCTAGCCCTCTTCCCTCAGACCCCAAAGCCCTGTACCTCCAATACCTCCAAATATCCTTTTCCCTTATCCTACTCTTATCTTCCTGTTCCAAGTCGTCCCCTTCATCTAGGAACCCTGCAGTGAGTTTAACTCTCGCTCATGGCTTTCCTAGCTATTTGGATCTGCATTGTGCGCTATCATCAACTCCGGGACTGGGGCGTGAAAACATGGCAAAACCAGTTGATTCTGTGGTCGGGACTCCTCTGTGCCCTGGGCACCTCCATAGTAGGCAATTTCCAGGTGAGATGCGCTGGGAGTCAACCTGGATGGGGGTGGTCAGCCTCCGGAAACCGAACTACAATTCCCTATGTTTCCCGCGGCTTTTGGCCGCTCTTTCTGTAGACTTGACTCGCAAGGCTTTCTGGGATTTGTAGTTCTCATTAGTCGTGGGCCACGCTGGAGCTTAGAGGGCTTTGTGGAGTGAGCAATCTGTGCTAGGTTGTGTACTCAGAACCGTGTGAAACCCTTCTTGGAGTTGGGAGTATTTTATTGCAGTCTCCAGTCACCGTTTCATTTAATCATGAAATTACTGCAATCGGTACAAAGGTTGAGGCCTCTTACTATACAGAATCTCCACCGAACTCTATGCAGTCCCCTTGACCAAACCCTAAAAGAGCAAGCTGTTTGTCTGTGGATGGTCAGAAATGAGCAAAGACTCATGGACTCTAGTCCCGGCATTTGTGAAGCTCTATAGATAATTGTAGAATGAATGACTAGGCAAAGGATAGGAAATCCTTTGCTAAATCTCCCTGGTTTATTTTGTTACTGATTTTATGTCTGTCTCTGCCGTTCAGCCTCTGGGTGGGAGAGACCATAGGACGCTCAGACTGCCTCCACTGGTCATTTGCCTAACAGTTTATTTGCGTGTTCATTTACTCCTGGGTTCCTCAACCTACTACTACTACTATGTTATTGTTATTATATGCCTTCCTTTATTTTTGCCGGCCAGTGGTGGCGCACACCTTTAATCCCAGCACTGGAGACAGAGGCAGGCTGATCTCTAAGTACTTGAGGCCAGTCTGATCTACAGAGTGAGTTCCAGGACAGCCAGGGCTGTCACACATAAAAACCCTATTTTGAAAAACCAACCAACCAAATCCACCCCCTTTCCTCCCCACCCCCACTTTCTTTTTTTCCCCCTGAGGCTCTCAAGTAGCCCAGGCCAGTTTGGAGCTCAGTATGTATTGGAGGATTGCTTTGATTCTTCCAGATTCTCCTGCTTCCATTTCCTGAGTTCTGGGAGCCCCACTCCTGTTTCATGGGGCACTGGAATCCAAACCCCAGCTCTCTATGGACTGGGCTGCCTTCTTAGTCCCTGTTGCATTTTATTGCCTTTCTAAAGAACTTCCTAGGCCTTTCTCCAGTTTTCTCCTCCCTCCATGACTTATTATTTAAGACAAGGTGATTCTCTGTGTTGACCTTGAATTTACATTCTTATCTCAGCACCCAGAGTGCTCGGGTTGTAGTAGGCCGGTGCCTCTACCCTGATCTTTCAGGACTTTTTTGTTTGTTTTTTTTGAAACAAGGTTTGTTTGTAGCTCTGGTAAACCTGAAACTTACATGTGTGTGCCATCATATCTGGCCTTACTAAAAAATATTTATGTTCATTTTTAACACGTTTTTGTAAGTAACAAACCATTATCATATCAGTGAGATTTTTACCTGTCAAGTATCAAAATCTGGGAATGTTGAGCTGGTTCAGCATGTGAAGGTGCCTGTCACCAAACCTGATAAGCTGAGTTTGATCCCCAGGACTCACTTAATAAGAGAGACTTAACCCTTGTACCTTGTTCTCTGACCTCCACACATACTCCATGGTGTGACACCCCCTTCTTCACACAAAATAAGTGCAATTTTTTTGTTTGTTTGTTTTTTTGAGACACGATTTCTGTGTAGCCCTGGCTGTCCTGGAACTCACTATGTAGACCAGACTGGCCTCGAACCCAGAGATCCACTTGCCTTTGCCTCCAATAATTTTTTTAACCTAAATTTTGCTGGGTGCGGTATGAACCCATTCACCTAGTGCTAGGGAGGTGGAGGAAGGAGGTCTAGGAATTCAAGGTCAATCACAAATTCAAGGACAACCTGGGCTCTGTGAGACCCCGCCTTTAGGGCTGGGGCTGTAGCTCAGTAGTAGGGTGATTGCCTTGATACAGGAAGTCTTAGGTTCAGTCCAGGTTGGGGTGAGGAGGCAGGAAGAACCGGTCTCAAAAAACCTAAAACTAATAAAAATATTTCCCCTTAGGGTGTGTTTCCCTTTCTACACTTTGAGAATGCCAAGATTTTTTCTATTCCCGTTTCCTGAACACCTACTTTGTGGGCCGTGCTATGTGGTATTGAGCTTTGAGGACCTAGCAGTGAATTTAAATTTAAATGGCTCAGCGATGAAGAACAGTTGTTGCAGCTGGGCAGTAGTGGCGCGCACACCTTTAATCCCAGCACTCTGGAGGCAGAGGCAGGTGTATCTGGATCGAGCGAGTTCCAGGACAGGTTTCATAGCTACAGAGAAACCCTATCTCGAAAAAACAAACCAACAAAACAAAACAAAACAAAAAACTAAAAAAAAAAAAAAAAAACCCAAACCAAAAAAACCAAAAAACACCAAACCAACCAACCAACCAACCAACCAAACAACCAAACAAAACGACCACTTGTTGCACTTCTGGAGAACCCAAGTACTCCTAATCACTTGTAATTCCAACTTCAGTGGATCTGGCACTCTCCTTTGACCTGCATGCACATATACACAAATAAAAACTGATACACACTTTGTGGAGCTGCTAAAGGCCAAGGAACCTAGCCTGACAGTTGGTGATATGATGATATGATGGCAGGTTCTATGTGTGTGTGTGTGTGTGCGCGCACGCAGGGGTGGGAGGAAGGGGGAGAGAGGTGAGGTGGAGGTGGGAGTTGATGGTGGTGGAGGTATTTGCATGCCTCACCATGTGAGTAGAGGTCAGAGGATATTTTTTTTTCCCCTTTTCGGTTTTTCAGGACAGGGTTTCTTTGCATAACAGTCCTGGCTGTCCTGGAACTTGCTGTGTAGACCAGGCTAGCCTCAAACTCACAGAGATCCGCCTGCCAGAGGACATCTTTTAGGAGGTATTTCTTTTCTCCCTCTGAAGGTCCCTGAAAGCATTTACCAGCTGAGCCATCTCACCAGTCCTGGGCTTTGGGTTTCCAATTACATCTGTTGGACTAGTCCAAAGTCTCTACGCTCTATCATTTATCTTCCCCCACCATAATTTTATTTTCAATTCTCCCTCCCATCCCCCCAGGAGAAGAACCAGAAGCCCACACACCTGGTAGGAGCTTTCCTGGCCTTCATCCTGGGCAACCTGTACTTCTGGCTACAGTTCTTTCTGTCCTGGTGGACGAAGGGCCTGCCCCAACCTGGGCCCCGCTGGATTAGGCTTCTCCGCCTGAGTTTCTGCAGCCTCTCCACCATCCTCATTGTGGCCAGTATCCTTCCCAGGGCACTGAACTGGGCAAAAGTGCCTTTTCTTCGGGGTTGGCCCTTTCACCTTTGCTGTGTGCCATAGTGGGTGTCCCTTAGTGTCCGTCCAGGATCACAGCTCCAGCGGAAAGCAGAAATCACAGAACTCAGGCGTGGTGGTGATGCAAGCCTGTAATCTTGAATACTTGAGGGAAGATTAGGAGTTCAAGGCAAGCCTGGACTACGTGGAGGACTTTGTCTCAAAAACAAAACAAGTGTAGTAGATAGCATTGACTTCGAGGTCAGATGGGTTGCTCAGGAACCTCACTTTCTCCGAGTACGATGTAGAGGAACTTCTACCGGTTTCTTATATCCCTGAAGTGCCTCTGTTTCTACTCTTATCAAATGCAGGTAGTTGAGGCTGAGGCAAAAGGATTACCCTGAGCACGAAGCTAGCTTGGGTTCCTTAGTGAGACCTGTCCTAAAAGACAATGCAGGTAGCTAACAACCGATCTGTGTTGTGAGGCAGATAAACGCCGGCGTGAAGCAGCGGCTAGCAAACAGGAATGAGAAGATTCTGTTAATAATTGGCTGCCAGGAGCCCCAGACAGGCAGAGCCACAGTAGGCTCGGACTGGGGAGGTCTCTCGACAGGAATTAGTGACAGGTTGCAGATAACTTGTGCTGCTCCACAAGACCAGCTGCTCAACCATCTCCCAACTTGAGGGTTCATGTAAGTGACCTGGGAAGGTCTTGGTGGGAAGGAGTATTTGCCCCTGCATAACTAGAAATGCTACTAACTAGAGCCAGCCAGGTGTGTGTGTGTGTGTGTGTGTGTGTGTGAGAGAGAGAGAGAGAGAGAGAGAAAGAGAGAGAGAGAGAGAGAGCGAGCATGAGCAGGGTGAGGAAGGGAGAGGAAGACAGACGTGGAGGAGAGAATGTCAATCTAGCAATGCAGTCCAGGGCGGCCTCAAACTGGCTCTGTGGTCAAAGATGACCTTGAACATTTGATTGTTCTGCCCCTACTTTCTGAGTGCTGGGATTCTAGGTGTGGGGGATCACACCTATTTTTTTCTGGTTCTGAGAATTGAATTCGAGGCTTTTCATAAGCTAGGTCAACATTCTACTAATTGAGTTATATTCTTCAGCCCCACCTCACCCTTTTAAAACACTGGTTCATTTAGTGTGCACCTATGAAGGTACGTGTGGGGTGCTGGAGTGGCACAGCACTTACATGGACATCAGAGTTGGTTCTGTCTGCCATGTGATTCCTGAAGACTGAATCAAGGTTATATACAGGCTTGGAGGCAAGCCACCTTGCCTGTCTCACCTCTTGGCTTTTCTCTCTCTTTCTTTCAGATTTATTTATTTTTATTTTATGTGCATGCATGTCTGTGTGAGGATGCCCTGGAAGTGGAGTTATAGACGGTTGTGAGCTGCCATGTGGTTGTTGTGAATTGAACCAGGATCCTCCAGAAGAGCAGCCAGAGAGCTTAACTGCTGGGCCATCTCTCCAGCCCTGGAAACTGCCACTTTTAAGAAGCTTTGAAGTCCATGAATGAAGGCAGACTGGGTGCATAATTGTAATGCTAGCACCAGGAATGCTGAGGCAGGAGGATCGTGAATTCTGTACCAGGGAGACCATCTTAAGGAGCTAAAACTCAGTTGTAGAGGGGCTTGCCTAGGAGAAGTGCTGGGTTCAATATCTAGTCTCCTTCCAAAAGACTGTATTTTGCAATTAAGTTTTGGAGGGGTTTTAGAGAATAACTTACAGATGAGAAAACTCCATCAAAAAGCATGCTTAGGGCTGGAGAGATGGCTCAGAGGTTAAGAACATTGGTTGGTCCTCCAGAGGTCCTGAGTTCAACTCCTAGCAACCACATGGTGACTCATGGCCATCCATAATGAAATCTGGTGCCCTCTTCTGACCTGCAGGAATACATGTAGGCAGAACTCTGCATACATAAAGCATGCACAGAAGGGCAAATGGCTTAGCACGTAAATGTACTTGTCTCCAAGCTGAAGATCTGAGTTAGATCCCTTAGGACCTTCATGGTGGAAGGAGAAAATGGATCCCACCAGGTTGTCCTCCGAGCTCCACACAGTGCTCATGCACAAGGGCATTAATGAAAAGATGTTTACACTGATAGAAGATGATAGGGAGGGAAGGGACAGGTGTTATGAGAGGTTCCAGAAAGCAAGCACTGTCTCTTCGGGACTGGCCCCTGGAAGGTAAGAAAGCTGACAAAAGTTTTTTTTTCCTTTCTTTTTTTCTTCTTCTTCCTTCCTCCCCCACCCCCCTTTTTTTCCTTTTTAGATAGGGTCTCACTATGTATCCCGGGCTGGCCTGGAACTCACTATGTATCCCAGACTGGCCTCAGATTCACAGAGATCAGAGATCCACCTGCATCTGCATGAGGCACCACAACCACCAAAAACCAAAGTTTTACGGAGTTGAATGAAACGAGTTAAAGCAGTGTGTGTGTGTGTGTGTGTGTGTGTGTGTGTGTGTGTGGTGGTGGTGGTGGCAGGTGGAGCAGGGCAGAAGGTGACCTGCTGGTCTAGGGATTGGAAATTCCTAAATCCCTTAAAGAGAACAGGAGAACAGGTTTGGGGCAAGGAGAATTAGTTCTGTTAAGCAGTTAATGTGGAGGAGGCTGGGGTTACACAATAGGGGAGGAACTAGTAAATAGCCTGAGACTAGTGGGCACCAGGGATATGTTTAAGGAGTTATTTACCTGGGACTGGTAATGTAGCTCAGTCAGTAGAATCCTTGCCTCGCATGCAGGAGGTTCTGGGTTCATCCCCCAGTACCAGATAACTAGGTTGTGGTGGCACGTGCCTAGAACCCCGATGTTTGGGAAGTGGAGACAGGACTGGAATTTCAAGGTCATCTTTAGCTAGGTCATCTCAAGTTCAAGGCCAGCCTGGGCTACCTGACAGCCTGTCTCAAAAAAAGCCCAAACAAAGAGGGGAAACCCAAGCAGCAATTCAGCTGGAGGTAGCAGAAATGGTTGAGAAAACAACAGGAGAGTCCTGGGATCAGGAAGGACTCACAGAATGGAAAGTGAGTTTGGAGCATTGGTACTCCATTCCTCATCAAAGTCATCTGGGAGGGCAAACCCAGGAGCAGCCGGAGAAGGGCGGGGTTTGGAAAGTACTGAGGATAACAGCTAGAGTCCCTTTGAAGGGATAGGGCTGAGGCTGGTGACACCAAAGATGGATTTTCCTGGCCTGAAGTGCCAAAGCATCTGAGGGGGTGGTCAGGGCTTTAGCATGTAAGCATGTGACCCTTGACACTGGTGTGAAGTGATCATCCTGTACTCCCAACGGATGCGTTCTGCCTCTGCTGCCTGCGAATGGGCAGTGGCCATGCTGCTCTTTGTGCTATTTGGATTCTTTGCCGTGGACTTTTCCAGCTTGCATGGCTGCACCCTGCACTTAGAGCCCCAACTGGACTCCAGCCTCCCACAGACTCCCACTGGGTCTTCAAATACACCGATGTCACAGATGCTCTGACTAGGCCCTGCACTACTGGCAGAGGAAGAAAGACAGGGCCAACCCAGGCTCACCCCATGATGAGCTGGAGGCTGAGGTGGACAGTCTGCCTGATGGCGCACGCTGAGTGAACTGGTGCTCACCACTTAGAGGGGCAGCATCATGGTACCCACCTGTCCCATGATTGGAAGCACCCCAGGAATTGAGAGGCGAAGACCAGCCAGCTGTCCCTGATCAAGGCTATTTATTAATTTTGTTGTTGTTGTTGTTGTTGTTGCCGCCGGCGGAATCAGACAGACGCAGGCAGGATCACGCAAAACCAGAACCAGAATTCCTTCCGGGAGAGCAAATCCGTACAGAAGGTCGGAGGGGAAGGGAGAAGGACTTGGTGGGGAGCAGGGGCCCAGGAAGGGGAGTGGGGGTTGGGGATGACACAGAGACAGAGGGCCCTGTCCGGATCTGCTAAGCCACCCCCAACCAGCTCCCATCCCTCCCCCACCCCACCCGCAGAGATTGATCAATAAATAAAATAATAAATTAATCAATAAATAAATAGAAACAGCTCCCACCCCCTTTTTGCCCTAGAACCTCCCCCCATTGGGCATGGCCCCTGGAGCCCCATCCCTGCAGGGCAAGGCCGAGTTTTATGTCCCCCGCCTCCCAACATACTCCTTGGGCCTTATATACAGATTCACAGTAGGGGGGCAGGGAAGGGGGGTGGAGGGGGCTCCCCTCCTTCCCTGACCCCCTGGGGTCAGGGTAGAGGGGTTCCATTGGTGGTCAGGAGCTTCTTGTCCTTAGGGGGTCCTCGGCGGGGAGAGCTGCTCAGATCAGGGTCGGGGCGGCTTGGTGGGGGCTGCAGGCTTCGGGGTGGGGTACCAGCAGGCCGGGTCTGGGCTCCGTTTTTCTCATCTGTGAAGGAAGAAGTAATTTTGTATGGGCTGACAGGCTGCTGAAACCAGGTTGAGGCTCCTGTCTGCTGGTCTCAGTCGCCCCAAGAAACCAAAGTTGGCTGGCATGATGGCCCAGTGGGTAAAGGTGCTTGTCACCAGGCTGGATGACTTAAGTCTGATCCCTGGGACCCACAGAGAAGGAGAGAGAGAATACTCCGAGCTGTCTTCTGACCTCCACATGTGCACCATGGGGCTCACTCTCCCTACACAAAAGTAGTGATAACAATCAGACCAAATTCACCACCTGTGGGACTTCAAGTCCCAGAGACAGCTGCCACAGGGAAGCATACCTTTTCTAATAGAGGTGCCTTGTAGCTTCGGAAAAACCTACCCAGCTTGTCTGAGAACCAGGTTAGTCCATCACAAGAAATTCTCAGCTCTGAGGCAACCACAGGGCTGATAACTGCAGTACCCCTTATTGATAACTAGGTAATTCTACGGGAATGGGGCTCACAGTGTTGTGAACTGTTTTTTGGGGGTCTTAGACCCTTCTGGTTCAACTGGCCCGAGGAAGGCCACACCTTGTACACATATGCTAGCACGTGTATGCACATGATTTTGTGTATACATCAAGCTCAGCATCAGAACTCAATGTAGACTAGGCTGTCCTCAAATGTACAGAAATTGCGGCTGGAGAGATGGCTCAGAGGTTAAGAGCATTGCCTGCTCTTCCAAAGGTCCTGAGTTCAATTCCTAGCAAGCACATGGTGGCTCACAACCATCTGTAATGGGGTCTGGTGCCCTCTTCTGGCCTGCAGGCAGACATGCAGACAGAATATTGTATACATAATAAATAAATATTTTTAAAAAATGTACAGAAATCTGCCTGCCTCTGCCTCCTGAATACTGGGATTAAACACCACTATGCTTGGCTTATTTCTTTTATCTATTTATTTGTTTTTCAATTAATTATTAATTTTTTCTTTTCTTTCTTTCCTTTTTTTTGTTTTTTGAGACAGGTTTTCTCTGTAACTTTGGAGCCTGTCCTAGAACTAGCTCTTGTAGACCAGGCTGGCCCCAAACTCACAGAGATCCGCCTGCCTCTGCCTCCTGAGTGCTGGGATTAAAGGTGTGCACTACCACCACCTGGCATTTTTTAAGACAGGGTTTCTTTGTGTAGATCAGGCTGGCCTGCCTTGAACTCACAAAGATCTGCCTGTATCTGACTCCTGAGTGCTGAGATTAAGAGCATGGGGAACCACTGCCTGGAACTTCCCTTACTTTTTAAGTGTGTGTGCGTGTCTGTGTGGCGTGTATGTGTTACAGCTCCAGTGTGGAGTAAGAAAGAACTTGCAGAAATGAGTTCTCCCTTCCGTCACGTGGGTCCTGGGGACCTAACTTGGGTTGTCAGGCTTAGTGGCAAGCACCTTTAGAGGAGCCCTCTTGCCAGTCCCCACTTCCTGAAGTTGCCTTTGTAAGGTATTTTGTTGCAGCAACTTGTCATTTAACTAATCCTCCTGGGCACTGGCACTGAGGCCTGAATAACTTTGTTGTGAGAAGTTTTCTGTGAGTTACAAGGTTTTTCAGTATCCCTGGTCCCCACCCACATGATGCCAGTAACACCTTCCTGCTCTCCATGTGAGAAGATCAAAAAGAATCTCCATACACTGCCAAATAACTCCCCAGGGAGGCTGAATAATGCCACCCCCCCAGATGTTCACATCATAAAGCTGGGGACCTGTGAAAACGCTGAGCTCATCTGTGTGACTCAGGATAATCCCTGTGGGTGGGGAGACTACCTGGGATTATCTGGGTAGACCCAGGTTAGTCACCCGAGTCCTTAAATGAACCAGTCATGCCAGGGGCAGTACAGTGGTACTGGCTCGAGGATGTGGCCACAGGTGTAGGTAGGAGCCGCAGAGCATAAAAGGACAGCTCTCAGGACGACACCCTGAGGTTAGCTTGAGTGTTGCGCCTCCAGGACAGTACGATGAAAACTCTGATCTGTTTCAGGGGGCCAACTTTGAGGTCTTTTTTTTTTGGAGCTGTCCCTGAACTCACTCTGTAGACCAGGCTGGCCTTACAGAGATCTACCTGCCTTTGCTTCCCAAATGCTGGGGTTATAGGTGTGTACCACTACCAGCCGGCTTGAGGTCATTTATTAATGACTCCAAGGTCAAGATGAGCCCTATCAAGAGTCAAGCTACTAGTGTCCTCCAGTGGCTGCTTTACTCATTGCTGAGTTCTCTGTGTTCAATCCCTTCTATGGGAATGGGGACAGAGGGATGTCAGGCTGATTTCACTGGACTCCTGTGTATTCAGGATGCTCCCACAAACAGAGCCTTCTTTTCTCTGTAAACCCCTCATTCACTTAGAATTCTCATCTTTGCATCTCTGGTTGCTATGGCAGACACACCTGTACTGTACTACAGGCTAAACGTTGTGTCCCCATAATTCACACGCTGGAATCATCACCCCGAAGTCAAAGGGGCCTCTGGGAGGATGATTAGATTTTGAGGGTGGAGCCTTGATTAGTGCCATGGGATTAGTGCTATGAGATTATCAAAGGCCTTAGTGAAAGCTAGATTGATGGTGCCTGCCTATAATTCCAGCAGCTGGGATGGAGGCAGGGGGGTCAGGAGTTCAAGATCATTTGTATCTACACATGGAGCCTGAGGCCAGTCTGGGATAGATGAGAGCCCATCTGAAAAAGGCAAAAAATGAACCCTAAGGAGATATAGAGAGAAGAGGTCATCTGTGCACGAGGAAATGGACTGCTGACAAACACCAAATCTCTGTGCTGCCTTGACCTGGCTAAGAGCCCTGGCCGCCCTTCCAGAGGACCTGCATTCAATACCCAGTTTACAACCCTCTGTAATTCTACTTCCGAGGGCTCTGATGCCCTCTTCTGGACTACATACATACACACACACACACACACACACACACACACACACACACACACCAAGCATGCACACAAAAACACCCATGCACACAAAATAAATAACACTTTTTGAAAAAATAATTTTATCTTGCTTATTTCTGAGAAAGAGTATCATGAATATCTCTCTGGCCTCAAATTTGATACATAGCTGAGAATGACTTTGAGTTTCTTTCATTTAAAAACACTTTTTAAAAAAAAAAAAAAAGATTTATTTATTTATATGTATATGAGTGCTCTATCTGCACATATGCCTTTATGGCAGAAAAGGGCATCAGATCCCATTACAGATGGTTGTGAGCCTTCATGTGGTTGCTGGGAATTGAACTCAGGACCTCTGGAAGAGCTCTTAACCACTGAGCCATCTCTCCAGCCCCATTTTTTAATTTTTTTTTTTAAAAATTTGCCAGGATGTGATGGTGCACGCCTTTAGTCCCAAACTTCGGGAGGCAGAGGCAGGGGATTTCTGTGAGTTCAAGGCCAGCCTGGTCTATAAGGAGCTAGTTCCAGGACAGGCTCCAAAGCTACGGAGAAACCCTGTCTCGAAAAGCCAAAAAAAAAAAATAAAAAAAAAAATTTATGTGTATTGGTATTTTGCCTGCATGTCAGATCCACTAGAACTTGAGTTACAGACACTTATGAGCTGCTATGTGGGTGCTGGCAATTGAATCCAGGTCCTCTGGAAGAGCTCTTAAACATTGAGCCATCTTTCCAACCCTCATTTTCTTTCTTTATTTATTTTGTTTTTCAAGACAAGGTTTCTCTTGGTAGCCCTGGTGGTCTTGGAACTCCCTCTGTAGATCAGGCTGGCCTCAAACTCAGAGAGATCCTGCCTGCCTCTTCTTCTTGAGTGTTGGGATCAAAGGCATGCATCACCATTGCTTGACTGATTTTGAATTTCTGATCCCCCACTCAACAAATGCTGCCTGAATCACAGCTGTGAGACACCTGTCTCATCACGTGGTGCTAGGACTGAGGCCGGAGCGTAGTGCACGCTGGGCAAGTGCTCTATAACTGAGCCACATCTTCCAGTCCTATTTGTTTGCTTTCAAACAGTTTTACTAAGTGACCAAAATGGCTGGAACTAGTCACCCAGAATGGCTTTGATTTCTGGCAACCTTCCTGCCTCACCTCAGCTTCCTGAATGCTGGGACTACAGGCATGCATCTCCATACCTGGTTTCCTATTGCTTAAAAAGTCACCCAGATTATGTTTTTTGCTTTTCTTTTTCTCTGTTGGGGATTGGACCCAGGAACCCTTGCTAGGTAAATGGTCTACCTCTGAGCTAACCCCAGGCCAGTTTATGCTACCCTCTTATGGAAACCTGGGTGAATTACAACCCCTCCCTGAGGCCTGGCCTCTGATCTTCCCTGTGGAAGCCAGATAAGAACTATGTCCTTCAATGCCAATGACATTT